TGGAGAAAGTAGGTGAGGTCTATCATTACAGTTTTCTTCTACTATCTGTAAACCTATTGCTGAGTCATGTATTTTGTCAATACTTAGCAATACATCTATTTCCTTTTTGAAGTGGAAAACTTTATTTTGTTTCCTACTGTTTTTTTCAGTATGAAAGGAGAGGCAATATTTTAAAATATTTGCTACATGTGATTTCTAATGGAATAAAGTCGTCATTACTAAAAGTCTACCGCATTAATTTTGTGACATGTTAATTCAACTTGTACCACACTGATGAAAATGGCTGTACTATATTGGCAACCTACAGTAAAATGTGCATTTCTAGGATAGCAGGACAGGCAATGCTCACCTTCAAAATATGTTCACTTTTACAAAGTCATTTTATAGTTGGCTGTCAGAAATTCAATGTCATGGAAACCATGTAATACATTGACATGGCACTGAGGTTTCCACTTTTGTCAACAAAAGCCTATCCAATAATGAATCAAGCTCTGTGTTAGGTGCCTGTGACAAACAAACGAATGAGACAAAATCTTTGTGCCATACAGCTCACAATATAGTCAGAAAAATGGATGAACTAAACAAAGAATGATAACACTAAACTCAAACAGCTATACAGCTGCACAAGGCAGTATAGTTATACCTAGAAAGGAGTAATTAACTCTAGGAGATAAAAAGTTGAGAAAACAGTTGAGGAAAACATCAAAGAATTTTAAGGGGAATTAAGCACGAGCAGAAGTGTGCCACCTGGTAAGAGAGGGAAAAGACAGCAAACCTGAGAGATAGCATGAAGATCCTTGGAGAGGAGAATGGGTATATCAAGTGTAAGGAGAGAAGTAGAAAACTCAGTTGGGCATATATCAGGAGGCCTTGTATGGTCTGCCAACCAATGAAACCTTCTTTTGGCTAGGCTTTCCCAAGAAGTGTGCTTAAAAATTTATTCCTTCAAGCCTTCAAAGAGACCAGGAGAAAAAATGTGGGGGTCACAGGGTAAGTGTGTGTTTGATTTTATAACAAACAGCCAGTTTTGGAATGTGGCTATATTATTTTCACAATAACCAGCACTGTAGGAAAGGGATGGTTGCTCTAGTTAGGACTAGTGTTAACCTTTTGAATTTTAGCTCTTTTCATGGGTGTGCAGTGTAGTGGCATCTCAGTGTGGTTTCCCTGATGACTAGAGATGGTTAGTATCTTTTCATATGCTTAGTAATAATTCTCCTATCTTATGAAGTGACTGTTTAAGACTTTTATCCAATTTTTATTAGCTTTGGTTTTTTTTTTTTTTTTCTTTTAGGTCATTGAGTTGATGTGTTCTTTATATAGTCTGGAGTCCTTTGTCAAATACATGGATTGTGACTATTTTCTCCTAGTGTATTGCTTTCCTAATGTTCTCTTTGAATAAGCTTAGTTTTAAATTTTGATTAAGTTTAATCATCAATGCCTCTCCCTTCTGGATCATGCTTTCTATGTCCTGCCTACCTCAAAGTTGTGAAGATATTCCACTACGTATCTTCTAGAAGCTCTATGAGTTTTAGTTTTTCTGTTTAGTCTGTGCTCCATCTTACACTAACATTGGTACATGATGTTAGGTAGGGATCAAGGCTTATTTTTTTTTCCACATGGATATTAAGTTCTTCTAGCACCATTTGTTGAAAAAACTTTCCACTTGTAATTGTGTTCCTTTGGTGCTGCTGTCAAAAGCCAATTGGATGTATAGTGTCTATTTCTGGATGCTCTATTCTTTTCCATTCACTTATTTATATATCTCTATGCCAGTACCACACTGTCTTGATTACTATAGTAATAACTACAGAGTAAATCTTAATATCAGACAATAGAAGTCCTCTAATTTTTTTCTCCTTTTGCATGATCGCTTTCAGCTACTTTAGGGCCTTTGCATTTTCAAATACATTTTAGAATTCATATACATCTTGATTTCTACAAGTCTAATGGGATTTTTATTGGATTTGTATTTGACTGACTCTCTACATCAGTGGTTCACAAAGTATAGACCAGTAGCATCAACATCACCCTAGGAACTTGTTATAAATGAAAATATTCAGGCCTTACCCTAGACCTAGTGGGTCAAAAACTCTAGGGCTGGGACCCAGCAATCTGTGTTTTAACAAGCCTTCCTGGTGATTCTGATGCACAATAAAGTGTAAGTCTTGCTGCTGCAGATCAATTTAAAAGAATTAACATCTCAGCAATATTAAATATTCCTACCCACGCACAGACATTTCTCTCCATTAATTTAGGTCTTCTTCAATTTCTCTCACTAGCATTCTGTAGTTTTAAGTGTACATGTCTTGCATACATTTTGCTTAATTTATATCAGGGTATTTTTTGTTCTGGTGCTACTGTAAATGGCATTTTAAGCATTATTGGCTAGCTTTTAACCATAGTGTAAAGGTGAAAGGGACAAAAGTCTCTTCGGGGTGGGAGTTCACTAAGAGACTTGAAAAAAAGTAGAGAGCTCACTGATTGGTAACATCTTGAAAACTAACTAGTTTTAACAGGCATGCAAGATTACAAGGTTGTTTCCAATGAACTGCTACAGGCATTAAACAAAGCAACTGTGAAGACCACTAAAAGAGGGACAACCAGATGTGCTCTCACATAGTCTTGTCAAACATTTTCTACAATCCTGACAAAAAGATCAAAATATGGGTATCCAGCCTATGGCTCCAGCTGCGAAATTCAAAGAAGACAGAGTAACATGTTGAACCACATGAAGAACATAAGACAAACAAAATCTAAACTGTGGCAAGCAGCTCTATAGGTGAAATGGGCTGGGTTTTTCCACAAACTTAGCAAAAATAAAAGGGATGGAGGAGAACCACACAGATTGACAAGAGATTTAAAATCAAATATGAAGTTTTTACAAAATGGACAACTCTAAACTATCATGTACCTCTGAGTGGTCGAATTAGTTTAAACTGAGAAAATGATCATTGTAAAAGTCAAGTTCGGGGTTTCTTCTAGGGGAGGTTGTACTGATACAGGGCATATGATTCTGGAGTAGCTGACAGAGTTCTGTTTTTGAACTGTGTGGAATTCACCTTATAATAACCCATTAAGCTATACATTTAATTCTTGTGGTTCTCTGTATACTTGTCTTATTTTACATTAAGTAGGTTTTACTCTCTTAATACAACATGTATAATCTAAAATTTGACAGTTTACAAGTTTTAGTGGTAGAGCAGAGTTCGGTGATGATAAGAACTAAGGTGTGGCTATCAAAGTGGCTGTTCGGTTGAGGTAGGGATATTAGTGTGGATGAAGTAAAAACAAACAAACAAACAACTGAATGGCTAAGCCTTGGGAAAGCACTGAAGGAGAAGTCTGTAAGTTTGGTTCTCATCTCCACTATCAGTATGGGGAGTGGCCTAGACGTTGGCAGAGACAAAAATTATAAACAGGGACAGGAAAATATACTTAAATTGCAAAGTTATTACTCTCCCTTGGGCCCACAAAATGAAACAATACTTTTGCAAGTGACTAGGGAAAGAAGGGCAGTTGAACCCACTTTGTTTCTGTGGGTTGTGGTAAAATGAGCACGAAGACCCTCAGTACCTTTTAGACACAAACAAATTTCAGTTGAGGCTTTCTGGCAGAGAAAGGTCCTAAGAAAATATGAAAGGTAATCTGCTAAAAAAGAAACAGAAATTCCTGAAACACAACGGAAAAGATCAGGAGGGAGAGAAAGGGGTGTGTGTGTGTGTGTGTGTGTGTGTGTGTGTGTGTGTTGGGACGGTACAGAAGAGTGTAAGAAGGGCGAGATTGATAGGACTTTAATCACTTTGTTAATCAATGTTTCCATGGAAGAAGGCTTTTAAAGTTCTAAGGATGGAAGAATCATCTTTAGTTCTGAGAACAGGAGTTCTTATTATGGTCAAGAGAAGGGGACTCTGAAGGGCTCCTCGATGATGCCTACCACTGTAAACCACTGGGGATAATTCTGAATCTTGGATCACAATGACTTTTCTTCCTTTTTATTCCAAGGTTCACTGATACTAGAAAGAATATCTGACAAGAGTAGGGCAGGGTCAAAGTGGAAGCAACATTCAAAACTAGAAATGGGCTTAGAGACCATTCAGACCCTGGCCTAACAAACATTGATGGGGTCAGTATAGGAGAAATGAAGCACAAGTATGCCAATTTATGAGTCATCATGAATTTTGCCCTGGAGTACACAACAAGTGGGACCAGAGTGTTGAGCCCATTTCTGTTGTCATCCGGGTTGTAGTAGTGATGGAAGAGGGGAGAGAAAACAGGAGGGAAGTCATAAATAGAAGAAACGGAATAGGCAGTACACTAATGAATTTGGAAATTTTCCTCCTTTGAAATACATTACTTCTTACGAAATAACTTTAGAACACTTTATGCTATTGTTTTAAAATGAAAATTATGAAATGTTTTAAAAATATATACACCACAGCATTGCTATACTTTATATTCTGTAAACTACCAAAACTATGTTTCTGAAGTTTAAAATAAAAATTCAACTATTAATTACTGAGTGTTTTATATTACATGCTAATTATATATTTTAAAGTTTCTCCAGATACTTGATAGAGTTAAATGTATATAAGATTACAAAATCTTACAGTTGCTATAAAGTTAAGGGCAAAATGGACAGGACCATGAGATTCAGTGTTTCTCAGACTTTTCACCAAACACCCATATCAAAACAAAGCTCCCAGAATTAGGCAAAATGTCCTGATGCAAACTGCTCTAAGTCTAAACTTTCAAAAATGTATTTTTGTTCTGTACTGCATTTTTCTTATTTCATTTAAAAATTCATATGAATTTCATGTTATATTCCATAACTTGTGCATTTATTCTATTATAAAGACATTTTAAATTGTTTTCTGTGGAGTAAAATTAACACTCTGGAAGATGCATATATTTATTCTGAGGCTCTATGTAAACTCCCAATTGAGAAACACAGCATTATAAAAACATGTTATTTGAATATTTTCATTATGTATTCTTACCTCCATAGTAGGTGGAGTCTTTCTTGTTTTTCTAATCCAAGCTAGAAAGAAAAATGATACTTAAATGTACGTTTTTGATAATTTACACAAGCATTTTATTCATTCATGCATGAAACAAATATTTATTAGCACCTGTTACATGTTGTTTTAGGCACTGGGTATACAAGAAGGAACTAAACGTGAATTTCCTCCTCTCCTGCAGCACTTACACTAGTGAAGGGGAACAGAAAACAAATACACAAACATATGATGTCAGGTCGTGATTTGTATCATAAAAAAATACAACAGCAAAGGGACTTTATTAAAGAGGGGACAGTCCATATCTAAAATCAGACCTCATAATTGTCTGAATTCAACCGAGTCCCTGATGCCTTATAGCAACAGGAAGGAACTGGGGCAGGTGCCTCTAGGGAAGTGTATCAGAATCACATGGAAGACATATAGTACATCATTTAGGAGTAGAATCAGATCTTCTGGGTTCAAATCCCAGCTTCATCATTTACTAGCTGTATCACTTGGGGGAAGCTGTTTAATTTTCTAAAACACAGATTCCTATCTATAAAATATAAATTATAAAAGTATCTACATTTTAGAGTTTGTTGTGAATGTTAAATGATATCTCTAATTCTTAGCTTAGTCTGGCATACAGGAAGCATTAAGTCTAAGTTAATACTATCATTATCACTATTAGCCCATAAACCTATATTTTTTTTATAACAGACTCAAAAACACTGAGATTAATAATATCTGCTTGGCCTATGGGGATAGATAGAAAACTGTGATAAAATATACTTTAGAAATTTGGTCTTTAAAAAGTTGGAAACTGCTTGATCACTTTAGTTGATTTAGTTTTCATCACAAAACTGTAAGGTATCCTTATTTAATAGAAAAATTAAATAACTTTCTCAAATTTACACGTTAGATGTAATGGTGGCATTTGAGTCCAGATTTGACCCTGTCTCTAGCTCCAAAAGCTACCCATGATCTACTAAGCAGCCTCACCAATTTCAGTAAGAAACAAGCAAAGAACACACAACTAGGAAGAGGAATAGGGCATAACCTTAATTACATGCCGGAAAGTAAGAATTACTAACCCCGTTTTACAGATTGGGAAACTGAGGTTCAGAAAGATTGAGCAATCTGTCTAAACTCACATAATTAGTGAGGAATAGCCTGGGAATCAACCCCCTCAGGCTCTAAAACCTGAGCTCTGCCTGCTAACTAGCTCCCTTCTCTTCCCACCAGCTCCACCAGCCTGCCTTCTGTCATCCAAGTCATAGCACCAAGAACTGTCCTCATGACAAGCCCAGTACTGAATGGCTGTTGGGGTACAGAGAACAACATTCAACTGCAGGCCTTGCGCTGATTCCATAAATGTATTTTTAATACAGTCCCAGCATTTTAACCTTCTGCCCTCTAACTTCTAAGTTTTTACCCGTTGTTCTCCGCATTCTCTTTCTCCTTATCTTCCATTCCTATTTGGTCCATCTCTAGCCACAACTTATACAGATCTTATGTTCCTTGTTAGGTTTGTAAGGTTGTCAGGGGCAAGATGCATCCATGGGAGATTTATGTTTCTACTACTTAAATGTCTCCAAACAGTAGGTACTTAATACAGCTGTTAATTAATATATCCACTATAAAATACTTCCACTATATGACTATTTGTTGTAATGGAACTTTTGCCTGTGTTAGAAAATCCAGCTCAGCAATAGTAAAATTCCTCTGTGCAATCATGGAAATTAGTGCTTTATGTAATTTTCAACTGCCTCTTTTTGGTCAAGTTAAGTTACTTAACTTGATTTATAGACATTTATTTTTCTAGGACAGAGGCTTCTTTTGAAATAATTCAATAGGAGCCATATACCTCTAAAAGGTTTTAAGCAGTAAATCTTTAGTTTTAAAGTAAATTAGAAAGTTAATTCAGAAAAATCAACTGCTAGGGCAGGGTCAGCAAACTATATAGCCTGCAAGCTAAATGGAACCCAAGGTTTGTTTTTACATTTTTAATTGGTTGAAAAAATATTAAATGAAGAACAATATTTCACAACACATGAAAATTATATATAATTCAAATTTCAGTGTCAGTAAGTAAGGTTTTATTGGAACACAGCCACACTTATTTGTTTACATATTATCTATAGCTGCTTTTGTACTACACCAGCAGAGTTGAGTTGTAACAAAAATAGTAGAACCTCACAGAGCCCAAAACATTTATCACCTGGCCTTTTAAAGAAGTTTGCCTGCCTCTGTACTAGAGCTACCAATAAGTAAGGCCTTGTAGCAAGAACTGTCTTGATTCAAAAATACTTTCATATTATATAAAACAAAAATCATTATTATTTTTTTTAAATAAAAATCACTATTAAATATTACACTTTTTACTAATGAATACCATGTACTTGAGAGTCTGTGACCACCTATTATTGGCATGAGATCACACTGAAAAAAATAAAGGCACAAAGCATACTTACTATTACCATGAGAAAAACAACTTAAAACAACAATTGGTCTTGTGGATGAGACTATAAAGCTGCACTTTTAGATTTTTGGTAAGGTTAGAAAAATACTTCAATAGAATCTCAATAATTTTTAAAAATCCCAATGTAAATTAATAGATTGAGTAACTCTGGTATGTATTTTCTAAATTTACTGGTTTTGTATAAGTTTATAAAATTCATGCATGGAAGAATGCAATATAACTTGGATAATGTATTAAGAACTGCCTAGAATAGTCACCCTCATGGGACACACTATTCTCTCAGGAAAGATACAGGACTTCCTTAGCTCTGTTTTAAATGGCTCAAGGAAAAAGATCTTTGTTTTATCTAGATAAATAAATGCAATTGCTGAGATAAATTTGTATAATTCTACAATAACCAGATACTTGTAATGTTCTTGAGATGATGGTTGATGCCAATTTACTGCTATGTATCCAATAAAGGGTACAGCTGGAAATATTCAATGTGATCACTCATTTATATAATATTCCCTAACTTTCCCAATCACTATATGCAACAAAGGAAATATCCTGCTGAAGGTTGGCAAAGGTTAGGAAGAGGAAGGAATAAAAATAAGCATTAATATCAAATCATTATATTTCTTTTTTTTAATCCTCATAACAATCTGGAATTGAACCTCTATCCAATTATAAACTATATAATGATTTTGCCATTGCTAATTATATCTGTATGGTGGATTCTGTATCAGTCTTCATTATAATGTAACCATTGTTTGAGTAGAATTTAGCAAGATAACTGGACAGTTTATGCCTTAAGATCTTAGCATTCTTTCATCAATGTTCATTTGCATTCTCATCAGTATGCATGAGATTTTCAATGAACGTTAATACTCTTATTGGAACATAACACACTATAATAAGCGTAAAAGTGAGCATGCAAATTAAAGTTCCCATTAATCACTAAAAGAGACTGGAAGAAGCAAGCAGGAAAATACTTCACGAAGCATACATTCTTCAAATTTCCATAAGCACTGAAAATGGCTAACACATTCTGAGAAGCAGTACCAACTGGGGTTAAGGTAAATGAGACAGTTATCACTAGAGTCAGTAAGGTGACCATTCAGAACTAAAATTATGGAAAGCTTGTCAACAGTCTGCATCCAAAAGATTACATTAGAAATATGTGTTGTTTACTTCACTCAAGGAAAAGACAACAGTATACTAAAGCCTCATCTTTTAAAAAAATGATATCTGCCAGTTCTGGGTGTGTACACATTATAAAAAACTATAAAAATAAGAATCCATATTTTTTAACTGAAAATTCTTCAAATGACAGAAAATGGGTCACTTTCTGATTACCAACCCTTGGGCATATCTTAAGGATATTATTAGATTTAGTTGGCACATTTAAGTTAAATATTTTGTAATGCTCATGATGATTACTGTTCTTTTTTCTTAATCCACTTTATTGAGATATAATTTATAAACAATGCAGTGAAACCATTTTAAGTGTGCAACAATTCTGAAAAATGTATACAACCTTCTAACAAGCACCACAATCAGTATACAGAACACTTCCATCATTCCCATAAGTTGTCTAATGTCTAACCACATGCAAACACCCACCCTAATCCATTCACAGGCCCTAATTATTTGTTGCTGCACTTTCTGTCACTGTTGATTAGTTCTGCCTTATCTACAATTTCATATAGATGGTTTACAGTATGTACTGTTTTGCATCTTATTTTACTCAACATAATATTGTCAAAGTTCATCCACGTAACTGTGTCTAGAGAACAGTCTTTTTTTTTTTTTAAAGATTTTATTTATTTGACAGACAGAGATCACAAGTAGGCAGAGAGGCAGGCAGAGAGAGGAGGAAGCAGGCTCCCTGCTGAGCAGAGAGCCCAATGTGGGGCTCGATCCCAGGACGCTGGGATCATGACCCGAGCTGAAGGCAGAAGCTTTAACCCACTGAGCCACCCAGGCTCCTGGAGAACAGTCTTTTAAGGTAGGCTCCATAGCCCCCATCTCTGTCACATGCCCTGTGACTTACTTCTAACTGCGATAACAGGGCAAAGGTGATGGGATGTCTATGAGTACATGATTATGTTAGGTAGGATTACAGCATCTATTTTGCTGGAGCCTCTCCCTTCCTGGCTGTAAGGGAAAAACTGTCCATGTTGGAGGATCCTATGTGGCAAGAAACTGCCAGTGACTTCTAGGAGCTTAGGGTGGCCTCTGGCCAGCATCAGGTGAAAAACTGAATCTCACAGTCCTACAATTGCAAAGAAATGAATGCCGCAAATAACCACACACATGGGAAGTGGATCCTTCCACACTCACACCTCCAGATGAGAAAGCAGCCCTGGCTGACACCTTGACTGAAGACTTGTGAGATCTTAAGTAGAGAATCTATCTAGGCTGTGCCTGGATTTGTAACCACAGAAACCGGGAGATGATAAATATGTAGAGTTTTAAACTAAGTGTATGGTAGTAATTATATGGAGCACTAAAAAACAAATACAATGAGCATAGCAGCAGTTCATTCTTTTTATTGCTGTGTAGTATTCCACTGTA